GAGAGAAGAGAATGTGTTGATTGTGTCTCGGAGAGAAGAGAATGTGCTGATTGTGTCTCGGAGAGAAGAGAATGTGTTGATTGTGTCTCGGAGAGAAAAGAATGTGTTGATTGTGTCTCGGAGAGAAAGAGAATGTGTTGATTGTGTCTCGGAGAGAAAGAATGTGTTGATTGTGTCTCGGAGAGAAGATAATGTGTTGATTGTTTCTCTGATAAAATATGTTGGTTGTTTCTCTGAGAGAAGAGAATAAACATGCATAGAAAGCGTGGGATGCCACTAGATGTTTACAACTCGTAAAGAACGTAACTATACAGTATGAGACGTGTTTGCCGGGCTGGCTGACCATAGTAGACGTGAAGCCAGCTGCACGATGTGTGAAAGGGAAGTCAAGTTAAAGTAAAAAAAAAAAGTAAAGGACCCTTGTCCACGCCTTTAGGCGTATAGGGCATATAGGGCTAGACCTATATTTTTATAGACCAATCGGCACAAGATGGCTGATGTGATGGTCAGCATCACGCCGGCCGCCTTTACTTCCCGGGACTGCACACGGTACCCACTTAAGGCTGGGTCGACCTGGGAGTCAAGGTCATTTTTGATAAAAGTCCGGCTCCGCCAGGGAGCGAACCCACGACCTTCCGATCCACGACAAGCGTCTAGCCACTCCCCCACGGCGACTCCCGGGAGTCAAGTGTGTAGAGAATATTGTTTTATATTTTATCTCAGCAATTTAGATAATGTGAGCAGACGTGGTGTAGCGGTGAGAGGCTCGCCTTCGGATCCGAAGGTCGTGGGTTCGATTCCTAACGGAGCCGGACCTTGGCTGCCAGGTCGACGCTGCCTGTACCAGGTAAAGTCATGGGGAAATAAAGGCAGTGGGCCCGATGTTGACCACATTACCCACTGAGTACCAGGTGGTCTATATAAGCTGTTCTTAACCTTGCCAGTCGCGACCCTTTTTTGGGTCGGATGACCCTTTTACAGGGGTCGCCCGAGACCATCGGAATTCATTAAGGGAACATGCATACGTATACACACACACACACGTAAACACACGCGTACACGCACATGTATACACACCTACTTACGCGCACACGTACACGCAAACATACACGTACACGCACACATATACTCAAACGTACACCCACACATATACTCACACGTACACCCACGCACACACACATACATACATAAATTTCATGGGGTAATTATGCAGCGGTTGCAGCAGCAGTGGTGGTGGTAGTAGAAATAATGGTAGTGGTGGTTGTTGTAACAGTGGTGGTAGTAGTAGTGGTGGTGCTAGTAGTAGTAGTAGTAGTAGTAGTAGTAGTAGTAGTAGTAGTAGTAGTAGTAGTAGTAGTAGTAGTAGTAGTAGTAGTAGTAGTAGTAGTAGTAGTAGCAGTGGTGGTAGTAGTAGCAGCAGCAGCAGTAGTAATATCAAAAGTTGAAGCAGTAATAGCAGCAGTAGTTGAAGTAGTAGTAATAGTAGTGATATAACAGCAACAATAGTAATAAGGGTGGTGATGGTGGTAGTAGTATTAATAGTAGTAGTAGCAGCAGTAGTAATAGTAGTAGTTATTGTTTTGGTTGTTGTTGTAGAAATAACAGTGATGATGGCAGTAGAGATAGTTTGCTAAATTCTATGTTCTTCTCTGTCCTGTTTTTTTTTTTTTTTTTTTTTTTTGTTCAATGCATGTCGTCTTGCCACATGTCAAGAGAACTACTGTCTCACAAAATTGGAACCTAAACTATTGTATATAATAAATAAATTAAAAATATACATCTGTGTAAGCCTGTTTACAATAGAGAAATGTAATAATGACGTTTGAAGGTATCGGAGCATGTCGTAAACTATATTGTGTTGCAGTGGTGGATGCTGGGCCAGAAACTGGTTGTCTTTATGTGGACGCCATTGTTGTGTGTACTGGTCTAAGATAACGACGTCTAACACAAGAGCGTGCCAGAATATCTTCACAAACGGAAGTGTGGAAATTCTCGGCCTCGCCCCGGGGGCGCAGACTGATGGGACGCGGTTCTGTGGGTTCTGCATTACCTCTCACAGGAAGCCTGCCACACTCCGTTAGCAGCCTTAGTGAGATGTTGCTTGTGGCTGCTTCAGTCTGTAGAACTAGATATAGTTTCTATAGAACTAGTTACTTCCATCGATAGGTGTTGTCATCTCTTCGGCTGCCTTGATTTCTTTAGATATTTCTTGAAACCATGTACACAGTCGCCGTGGTGTTGCGGCTAGACGCTCGCTTGTGGATCGAAAGGTCTGGGTTCGGGTCCTGAACTGTTTTCAAAAAATTACATTGGCTTCCAGGTCGACCCAGCCTTGAATGGGTACGAGGTAGGGTCCTGGGATGTAAAGGTGACCGGCGTGGTGCTGACCACCACATCGCCCACCGAGATCAGATTGGTCTATAAAATATAGGGCTAGCCCTATATTCCCAATACGCCTAAAGGCGGGGAAAGATTCCTGTACTTACTTCACATGCACATATTAGCACGGGCTCCCTATGCTCGTTGGGCCCCCTAGCGAGTGACCAGCGGGCCCATGCGTTAAGACGGTACTGATAGGGATTCGAACCTGTGACCATGAAGATGAAGGAGCCATTACTATGCTACGTCGCTCCGTCTCCCTGTAGTTGTGATTAAATTTAGCGCCGCCCCAGAATTCGACCACCAACCTGTTTTACCCCCCAGAATGCCAGACCGGTTCTTGCGAGATTGTAACCTTTTCAGTAGCAGACAATTTTGTTTAAAATATTTAAGAAGATAACAGACACAATGAAAAGAGCAGACGTGTATTAAATTCAAAGGAAGATCATTTATTGTTCTGTATGTAAGTATATATTGCCAAATTTCTTTAGCATGCTCAAACCAGATGTAAAATATATAACTATAAATCTTTCGTTATTTGATACACACTAATTATAGGTGATAAAACCCTGTACTTTGGTTGAAAGAGAAAGAGTTGATTCGTTGAATATAATTTCCATTCGTTCATTCGTTTGTTTAGCCCTCTTTCATGTCTTTACTTGCTCGACGTCTGTTCTGGGATCTCTAGGATATTTTGTTTGGGGGAAATTTTTCCAAACTCCGGTTTGCATTTTTACTTGGTTTGTGTGCTCACCGCCGATAATTAACGTCTGCCATCCGTCAGCACTGATGTCCCTTTGGGACAGGTCAGAGTTCACGTGCGTTAATCGTGGCCAAATTTGTTGAAACTCCGTCAACAGAGAAATCAATCCGGTGAAATGGGGTTTAAATTGGACAAGAAGAAATGGCGTTTGCGTCAGAAGCCACGGGGAGTTACTGGCAGTTTGGCTGTTGGTGCGGCTGTAAGAATAATTGTTGGAAATTATAGATATTGACCTTTTTTTTTTTTTTTAAAGAAGCATTGTTGTCTTGTCCGTTTGTTTTTGTCCCAGTCACATTTTGTGCTGTATTTAGTACTTCGTTGATGAAGACATTGGTCGAAACGTTCGGTTTCATTACCTCAGTAGACCTTTCTAATCACATTTTATGTTTATGTTTAGCACAAAATATAGGAACACTTTTAAAGATTATTAAAGAAACATAAAATTGAAATATTTTGGTCACTTAAAACGTCACCAAGGTTTGGAGAGAACAATAATGGTGGGGGGGGGGGGGGGGGGGGGTTTAATCCTGGAAATAAAGGAAGAGAGAGGACCAAAGAGAAGATTCGTGCAGGATGTCGCGGATGATATTCAAATGGGTTCAAAGGACGCAAGTCATCTTGCCAGTGATCGAGAAGTTTTCCGGAGGGTTGTTATGGGAGCAGGGTTCTGCAGAGGACGTGCTACTGACTGACTGATAGGAAAACTGGGTTTGAGGTCAAGTTTCTGTTAAGGGATGGGTTGACCAGAAGAGATGGTTACTTGTTGTGAAATGCTGCTTATAAGAAATGTTGTCCCCATGTCCCCGTGTCCCCATGTCACCATGTCCCCATGTGCCCGTGTCCCCATGTCACCATGTCCCCATGTCACCATGTCCCCGTGTCCCCATGTCACCATGTCCCCATGTCACCATGTCCCCATGTCCCCATGTCACCATGTCCCCGTGTCCCCATGTCCACCATGTCCCCATGTGCCCACTTTGTCAGGAAGAAGATCAGACCACTTGCCCCCAAACAAGCATGTCGTGAAAGGCGACTTATTAGAAGTTTGACGAAATCGAATATGTTGAGCCGAAAGGTGCAGATACCACAGCCTGTTTGTAAACCACTACATAATATGCCAACAGTCTTGTAAGGGTGAAAGAGATGAAGAAGAAGAAGAGGAGGAGGAGGAAGAAGAAGAAGCAGAAGAAGAAGAAGAAGAAGAAGAAGAAGAAGAAGAAGAAGAAGAAGAAGAAGAAGAAGAAGAAGAAGAAGAAGAAGAAGAAGAAGAAGAAGAAAGAACAAGGAGAAGAATAAGGAGTAGAAGCAGATTAAAGAAGAAGAGGAAGAAGAAGAAGAAAAAGAAGAAACGAAAGAAAAAACAAGGAGAAGAATTAGAAGAAGCAGATGAAAGAGAAGAAGAAAAAAAGAAAAGAAAAAGAAGAAGAAGAAAGAAGAAAAGAAGAAGACGAAGACGAAGAAGAAAAAAAAGGAAAAAAAAAGAGCGGCAGCGGTAGTGGTAGTTTTATATGGAGGAGACTGGGGCGCAAAAAGAAGAAAACGGAGGAGTTAAAATAACAGCAGCTAGCTTCCTGACATTGACAAATAGTTTACTGTGATTTTCCGTCTGGTTTACTGTTACATTTTAAGTGTGGTAAATTCGTTTATCCACAGAATACCAATAAGCAAGTGTTTCCGATCACAGACAAACGAATTTCTACAAATGGAGGCAAAGGTCCACCCGTTCAGGCAACACTCCGGTTGTTAAATCGAACACATCGCTACAAAAGTATCACGCAAAAAGTATCAAGCAGTCCCACCAGTATTGCTGAAAATCAAGTCTCGGCTGACAATGGTGTTCAAGAGCTGCCACCCCGAGGGGGAAACCATAGTTACCAGACCTCTAACGATGGTCGTATCATTAAAGTGCCTGGGTCCATGTCCAACAGTGGACAAGGACTCGACTGTTCTTAAAGTGCCTGAGGAGCCGCATCTTTACGTTGATGGTGCTGACGATAACAAGAATCATAACAATAACACAAACGATGACGTTGTAAATATTGATGTTCTTCAGAACAAACACCTCCCACAGAAGCCTCATAACTCCTGGTCGCAGAAATATAGCCCAAAATGTGATGTCAGTGCCAAGGAGGTGTCTTCAGCTGTAAAACGCGCTAAAACCTGGCAGTGCAAACAGGAGATTGCGGATGTGTACTGTCAGCAGCAAGAGGGGAAGCTCTACAATTTGGACTTGACTAATTATTGTCCCAACAGAGGTATGGCTAACTGTGGGGTTTATGTGATGTTCTTTCTGTGTGGGATATTTATGTAGGCGGATGTGGGATTTTTTTTTGAGCGGGGGCGGGGGGGGGGGGCTTTTGTGTGGGATTTATACGACATTCTGTCTGTCTGGGATTTACAACTGTCCCTTGTGTGGGGCTCATGTGTGTGTTATTTCTATTTGGGATTTTCGTGATATTGTTCTTGTGTGGAATTTCTGTTTTGTCTTCTGTATAGGATTCGTGTGATGTTCTTTCTGTGTCTTCTATGTGCGATTCATGTGTTTTATAATGGTTTAAGATCATAATAATAATAATATACTGAGTAGCATATAAATGTAATATATTTGAAACAATGTGAAATGTAGAAACAAATACATCAGAAGAAAACATGTGAACATGGCAGCTAGAGATGCAGGAGGAAGCACTTAGGCCTCTAATAAATTTTGTGGGCTGATAGGATGTCTGCCTCCCTCTTCCCCCTCCCTGTTAGCAGTTTTGTTCTCGTTGTTGAGGAGGCGGGGGGGGGGGGGGGCATGAAGCAAACTAAATTGACACGATGTAAACTAAAAGGCGGGAGTTTAGCGACTCCACGAGCGTGACTCGCTCACAAACTGTACCAGACAGAATAGTCGTGTAAATACTCCACGTGATCAATATCCGGACATTTTAAGTAACGATTATTTTTCCATTAGGTATCGTTGATGCCATCTATTCGAGCACCTGTCAGCCCTGAGAGATCCCAGAACATAATCATGACATTATATTCTAATGGGCGTTTATTTTAGCCTTTCGCTGAGTTCAGTTCGACGCTTAATGTGTCCGTGATTTTGTCTCATTTTCCTCTAATCTATTTTGAATTAGTATTTTGCTGGCATCTATTGGCTATCATTATCGTGTACTTTGCTCTGTCGTCGATGTTCGTGTGTCGTCACTAACCTGTAGGTTTGGTTTTCTTGCTAATGTCTGTTGATGATATCCCATCATGCCACCAGCGTCATCTTCTTTGTCTTTTCCTTATCCCCCTCCCCCTTCTCATATGTATCCCCATTTGAAGCACACGACATAAATGTCCTTTCTAGTTTACAAACCACTCTACAATTCTAGGTGTAAATTCTGTGTCGCGCGTTCAACATCATCGTATCGTAGTCATGTGATAAGTACTGACCAATGAATAAAAAGCACGTGCGTATCTTCCCATGATGCATAGGTTCTGATTCTGACCATTCAGAAAATGACCGGGTTGATTCAAAATACGTACAATAAAGCTATAAGAGCGGGGATTCAGTTTGCTTCATTTGAAGGATGTCGACAAGAGGACATTTATCTAAGAATTGAAGTAGTATCTCGCTGCTAACCAAGCTAAAGGTTTACAACCCTGTAATTCTTCCAGTACTGCTCTACGCTTGCGAAACGTGGACTGTGTATCAGCGCCATGCTAAAAAGTTGAATCAGTTTCATATAACCTGTCTCAGAAAGCTGCTCAAAATCAAAACGGCGAGATAAGATCTCAAATACTGTTTTTTGATAGGGCCACGCCTTAAAATCGCATCGTATTCTTGTCCTATGTAATAAACCAGATTGTAATAGTGTCAAAAAGTATCCGGGATAATTTGACAAGCCATTTTAATTTCCTTAAATGTCCGCGGGTCAGGCCTACTGTAAACATTTCTCCTTACCACGATTATCGTTTATTCCAATCTATCTCTGCTAATGAAGAGGTGATGGCGGACAGATAACCATAAAGAAAGATTGAAGCCTGGAAATCAAGACAGACTAGAAAACACACGACGAAGGGAACTAGAGTAACTTCTCCTTCTTCTTCTTCCTTTCAACCATTTAACCTATGCGATGTTTTGGAGGGAGATGTAAGGATCGTTTTTGCGCTTTTTCCAATGCATTTTACCAGTTGGGTGTTCATTTCTGTTAGGTTGCTCTGATAGTGTCGCTTCATTTCTTTCGTGGTTTTCCAAGTGGCTCTGTGTTCACTATATTTCTTCAGCGTGGCTCTCTGTGGCAGTTGGTACCAGTGCAATCTCGTCAGGTGGCCAAACCATCTCATTTGTTGTTTTTCAATGAATAGTATGACTGGTTTTAGTCCTTGTTTTGTTCCAGTTTTTTTTCATTCCTGATTTCATCTCTTCTTGTCACACCGTCACTAGAGTATGAAGTTAATCAGATGGAGAGGACATGCGATGAACTGCATGCAGTAGCAAAGCATAGGGCCACTTGGCGTCAGTTGGTTAAGAGCCTGAGTTTTGTTAAGGGTTACAGGGCAGAAAACGAAGAGCTGTATCTATCCGTTTTCTATAGTTCCTACTGATTCTACTATGTATAACCTTTGCTACCTTCCCCCACCTCCTTTCTGTCTATATCTGTCTGTCTTTCTCTCTCTTTCTCTCTCTCTCTCTCTCTCTCTCTCTCTTCCACCGTCTCTCTCGTTCTCTCTTCTTGATAAAACTATCAATAATTAAACACACTGTAATGAGTTGCATGTGCGCTACAGGGGTTGTTCAAGGGAAGCAAAAAATAGTAACAGAGACAGGGTAGACATACTGAAAGCACTTCGTTCTAGCGACGTTGAGACAAAGGAGTCAGCCATGATGGACCGCAAGTGGGTATTAAACGAGGTCAGTCGTGCAGAAACCGGTTCTGGGGCAAAGGAAAAAATAACTTATGCTGGTTTTAACTCAAACTGGGTACGTTAAGCATGGGGACATTCAGATGGCTGCTCCATAGGGGGACGGAGCACGAATGATCGAACTGATATGCAAGGATGTCGATACGGACAAGTAGCAAGCAACAAATAGTAACACGTCATAGGTAACTAAAGAAAGCTGTTTCATAAGGATACTATATATATATATATATATATATATATATATATATATATATATATATATATATATGGGCGTAACTGTGCGATTTATCTCACTACATTACCTATCTGTCCATTGCCTAACGTACCCAACCAGGCAATAATAATATCCACTCTACCAGCCAGCAATTTTTTGGAGTTATTTATAATCGCATCATATTCTTGTCCGGTGTAATAAATCAGACTTTAATGGCGTCAGAAAGTGTCCCGGATAATTTGACAGAAGCCATTTTAATTTTCTGTGTGTGTGTCCACGGGACAAACCGACCGTACAAATGTCTTCTTACCACGCCTATCGTTGATCCCAGTCTAATGAAGTGGTGAAGAGGTTATGACGAACAGATAACCATAAAGAAAGATTGAAGCCTGGTAATAAAGACAGACCAAAAACACGACGAAGGAAACTATATAAACTGCACAATTCAACGTGCCACAAAGAACTCATCTGATGGACAATTTATTATAGACATCATATAGAGAGATTGACAGCCGTGTCTTGGCGCTGACATGCCGACTCCAAGGTCTTGTGTTCGAATCCGCGTTGTGAAGGAGTGTTTATAATTCTCTTGGTCCCCAGGTCGACCCAGCCATATAGTGGTACCAGGAAATGTTCTGAGAAGTAAAGATGGCTGGCATGATAACTATTACATCTGATATCGAGCGCCGATTGGTCTGTACAAAATGTGAATCTAGCATCGCATTCGTATTCATGTGGCGCCACTGGTGGACCAAAAAAAGGGGCTGGGGGGGGGGGGGTGGGTGGGTTGTCCTTTATTTATTTTTATTATTATTTTTTTTCAAATGATAAAATAGGACAAGCGAAAATTGCATTTTATAAAATAAAGAAAATAGGGGGCAATAAATCTGGGTCGTTGGAGGTTAGAAAAATAATTCTCGCATGTTGCATGGAGCCAGTTTTAACGTGTGGTTGTGAATCCTGAGGGGAAAAAAATTTGTAAAAACGTTCTTTGCATATCCTTTACAGGGCATTTCAGAACCAACCCCAGAGTATTTTTTTTCCGTTCTGTAGTTTGCCACTCCTTTTTTTCTTCCTAAAATTGTTAGCTCTCCATACCGGTGTCGAAATCAACGCAAAACAGTCTGCTGTCAGATAACCCGCAGCTGGAATCCAATCGGGTATTTCTGAGTTACGAAGCCCGTTCGCAACGTTTAAGCAACAGATTCTGAATTTAAGTATATATAACGAAAGTAGTAATCGCTTTTTTTTTTCTTGGTCAGAAAGTAGAAACTGGATCAAGTTTTGCTAAGATCCGTGGAAAGAGAAATAATGGAGGATAAATGACAGGAGAGAATTGAAAACGTTTTCTCATGTCATGGGAAAAGTTTGTGCACACGAATGTGTACATGGAGATTGTAAGATGTATAGAATCATGGTCTCCCATGTCAGTTGCTTTCCTCTGTCTCTTTTTCTACAGGTCTTTCTGGTGGTTACAATATCCTTTTTCCTGTATCCTTTTTCTCAAAATATGACCAAACAATGATGACTTGTCTCTTTCTGATGTGTGTGATAAGTTGTGCTCCAGTCCTTTCCTCTTTCAAAACATATAGGCTGCTGTTCTTAGCTGTTCACTGAATTATAAGGATTCTTCTGTAAAACCACATCTCCGAGGCCTCAAGAAATTGTTTGGTTTGGCTTGATTAATAATTGTCCAAGTCTCATAGCCATATGTTAAAAGTGGCTCTGTATAGCATACGAGAATTCTTTTCCGAACCTTCAATGACATAGATTTAGATATAGACGATCTTTTTCAAGAGAACTAAAAATGGAGAATAATAACTGTTAAGATAGAGAGTTTATGTTTGAATGATCGCATGCGAGCCTCGCGTGATGTCAGACATTGGCTCACGCCATTGTTAACTCGTAGTAGCTGTATAGCTGTAGTAGTTGAGCTAGGTAGGAGCTGAGTACTGCAGCAAATGGAGACTGCGCGTGGAAGCTGTGGGTTTAATTATACAGGAGTTGGCGGTTAGGTCTTCGATAATTGTTGTGTATGTGTCAGCAGCGGGAAATCGATGAAGGTCAACAGAAGTGAAATCTGGAAGCCACCGTGGTGTGGCTGCTAGACACTCACCTGCGGATCGGAAGGTCGTGGTTTCAGATCTGACGGAGCCGGATTCCACCCCACCCCCCCCCCCCCCCCTCCCCCAGATAATCAGTACGGCTAATTTCTGCATTTTTAATTGTAAAGCTTGTTACTCTGGCACCATTTCTAAGGCATGTCATCTCTGTTGTGATTTTGCGCTCATTGCTGGTAGTAAGACTGGTGATTAGTGTACACTATCATTACAGTACTCTGGACAGATCCATAGGTGCTCCGATCTCCTCCTCAGTAGCTGAACAAGAGTAAAATGACTGCTTACGGCCGTTCTGTGTTGATTAACCAGGCGCCTTGTGCCCTTGATAAAATGTTCATATGTCTACTCTATGGTGCATCCCTGTAACCACTAACCCGGACAAGAATACTGAGTCCTGCTTGTTGTCGTAATCTTTGCGATGTTAATGACATCACTCCTTTCCAGTCACGGTAACCGCCGAGTCTGCCCGGTAATCTGCACGCTCATTTCTATAAACACCCACATTGCCGGGTACAACGATTAAGATTTGGCGAGTTATTGGAGGTGCATTTAATGAGAGAATCCATTCATGTTTTGTGAAGCCGGCCTAGATTTTCTTGAGAATATTAATTTAATCGCCCAGCTTATGTGATGTGTGAATTCTTGAGTATCCAGCCAAGGCCTTGTCCTTGTTGCAGTCCTGGTCTCCACTGTAAAGCTGCTAGTTGTAACAGCCAGGTTGTAGTAAGATCAGCTGACGTTAAGGATTATCTTAGTTCCCTGTTAAGTTAAGTTGGGGGATGTGAACCAGCGTCATTGCACACCGTTATAAACCATAAGTGCTCTGCCACCAGTACGGGCAGCTGATTAAAATTGTCCGTCTGTGTCGCTGTCCGCTCGTAACTCTGTAGCTACAGCGACGTTCCTCCATTTACCCCAGAGTATCACTCTGGTACCCATTTCCTAGAGGCTGGGTGAACCCCGGGAACCGCCTGGTTTCGAACACCGGCCGTGGGCTGCAGCGAGTCGCAGCTGGATTTGAAAGCGAGCCTCTTCTCGGCTGTCCTGTATAACAAGTAAAGGATCCTTTTCCACGCATTTAGGTATATAGGGCTAGACCTATATTGTATTGCACAGTCGGCACATGATGGGTGATGTAGCCGCTTTTACTCCATGGGACTGCACCCGGTACCCACTCAAGGCTGGGTCGACCCGGAAGTCAAGGTCTTTTTTTTTGGGGGGTTGAAAAAATGTCCGCCTTCGACAGGGAGAGAACCCACGACCTTCTGATAGTTCCCTGTAATATTGTGTATAATATAAAAAAATATATACTTGTATTGATTGACATTCACATAAACAAGTAAAAAGATCATGATTTTCAATTTTTATGTCGTCTGGCGTGTCCTTCTACTTCTTTCTACTTTTTTTAGGTGAATGTCAATAAAACCTGTCTAAATCTATATTGTATATGATGTTTCTACATCCTCAAAGGTTCACTCTCTGTTTATTTATGTGCATTCCCTAAACACACGCACGCACGCACACACACACACACACTTATATATATGTATCCTCTTTGTCACTGTTGACACATAAGGCATTTACAAGTGATCTCCATTACTGCCGGTCTTCTGCTTTTCTGCCCATGGTAACCCATGTGCACTGCAGTCACCCCATATTTATCCCATGTCAGTTTACATTCCTTCATTTTCTGTTCTATTGTCCTTTTCCAGGTTTCCTTAGGTCGTCAACGTCTCCTTTTCCCATCTGCATATATATATATATATATATATATATATATATATATATATATATATATATATATATATATATATATATATATATATTAGTGCTTGTACCGAATATTCGCTTCGTATTCGTTTCGGGGCCAAATAGTGGACCTATTGACTATTCGGTATTCGGCCGAATAGTTGCGGTCGGGCCGAATACGAATAGTAGTTACCTTACACCCGCATCTGCATATACGGCCTAAATACTGACAACATGGAACGATTGGGTTTGTTGAAAGCTAATGCAGCTTTCATGCATTAACTAAGCTAGTTACTTGTTATAAAACTTAAGATTCTTTCATTCCTAGTTATTAGTTACCAGAGACTGGCTGAAAGGATGCAAAGCATAAAATGTTTTTAAACGTTTACTATTCTGTACGAATTCTAACTAGACATGAAAAGAATATAAACTCCGGCCACGTCCAAGTCGATAATATGAAAATCAAACGAACGGAAACATAAGTACTTGGGTGCAAGCTTAAACTTCTCCAACGTGCTGAGAAAAGAAATACAATCTAGAATACAATCTAGACAAAAAGTATACTATGCCCTTCAACATCTGCTAAAGTCAAAGTGTCTGTCTCGCAAGACCAAGATCAAAATATCTAAAACATTGATTAGACCAGTGGCTCTGAAACTTGAAGCAGAAATAAAAGAGATGAGGCCTTATTACAGGTTTTCGAAAACATTCTTACGACAAATCTTCGGACTCATCAAAGATGCTAACAGCGGGGAATGGAGAGTGAGAAGTAACAACGCAAGGTATAATCTGTTTAAATCACTATTGATCACTGGAATCATGGGAGCTAGCAGACTAAAATGGTTGGGGCATATTGAAAGAATGTCAGAAGACAGAGAAGTAAAAACTGTATACACCTGAGAGAGGAATGGTCGTAGACCTCGAGGCAGACAAAAAAGAAGATCGAGAGATAATGTCCAGCCAGAGAAATGAATGAAGACGAGTGATATCTGCAGCAGTAAACCTCAGAATGCTAAAGAAGAAAATGACTATTCTGTGCTACTTTTTGTGAAGTTCAGCGTACATTTGACATTATGAATGTGTGGTTTTTTTTATAGATATATTTTACAATAGGAATAAACTCACAGGGAGCAAGTACAGCGGGGATCTACCAGTCGTCAGTAGAAATTATCCTCGTCGACACGCGTTTCGGCCCACGATTCCTAGACGCATTCGGAGGTGGGCCCTCCTGAGTTCATGAAGCTCAGGGCTGGTTCCCCGCTGTACGGAATTACCGGATGGTGTTTTACTTTCGGCCAGAGACAAGACGACTTGGTGGTTTCGAAGGAGGTACTGTGAGATAAGAAGCCGCCACGGCAGCCTAATTGAAGCAGTCAGCATGCCTGGACGACCGAGCGACAAGCTTACTTTGGTTTACCGGACACATGTTGGACTTTTATTAGCAGTTGGCAGAGGAACACTGGCAGACAATTCGGACACGATGGACTTTCAAAGGGGTGAGAAACCCTTTTCCACTAGACACCCGGACCAGCTCACCGAGGCCCGTCCCCTACGTTGTTGCGCTGCGTCCAAAGCCAGCTAGAGGCCCTTTCGGCCACCTCTCCCAGTTTTGTGAGTGTTCGTTTCCGTTCATTACCACGCAATCCGCCAGATCTCACCCCATGTGAGTATTCTTGGCAATGCGCTCTCCAGGCTGACCCAATGGCCCTGCTGCGACTGCTGGGCTGCTTTCTGGACCCGAACCTCGTTTTCGTTGTCCCTCACCGTTTGTATTACCATGTCTCGGCGTTCTTTGGCTGAGGCCTTTGACCACCAATTGACTTTCCCGTGCCCCAGGCCTCGACGGTCGGTTTGAGTGTATCCCATTATCTCCTTCAATTTTAGTGCATTCTGAGCAGATTCTATCGCATCGAGGACCCTCCACTTCTGGCCGGTCTTTAGAGCGAGCTGGACAGCGATGACATTTTGGGTCTGAAGACTCGCGCAAGAGCATGGCGAGTCTTACCTTGCCGACTTTAAACTTTTCGGTTATCGATTTGAACGGAAGTACCAGCTTAGCCTGTTTGCAATACAGAGCCACGTCGGTCAGACAAGGCGGTGCACCAATCCACTTTCTCAAGGCTGTGTTGATTTTTTTCTCCATGGCTTCCACTGCAGTCATCGTCACCTCGTAGACTAACAGTGGCCATAGGAGCTTTGGAATCAACATGAATTGGAGACATCATACCTTGAATTTCCCGATCAGCCTGCAACGCTCGATCGCGAGCAAGCCTGTAGCCAGTGACTCGTGTATTCGCCGGACCTCCGCTCTATCAGATAACTTCGAATCGTAAACGCGACCGAGACTCTTCACCGGTTCCTCCAGAACCGTTGGGATCTTGTTCCTTGCCACCGTAAAACTGATTGCCGACACCTTGCCCTTATGGATTGACAGACTCCTCGACTTCTGCGGTTTAAACTGCATACCGCTCCATTGGACCACCGCGTCCAATCTTTCCAGGATCGTGCGGGCAGACTCCTCACTGCCCGTTATAATAGTCGTGTCATCCATAAATGCGCGTAGTGGCGGCAACCAGTGATCCCCTATTTGAAGGCCCAGTCCGTAGCCAGCCGCCCCGTCTAACATGATCTGCATAGCCATGACAAACAGTATACATACTATACACTATTCGTATTCGGCCGAATAGGTGGTCCCGCTATTCGTATTCAGCCGAATAGTGAAAATCCCTATTCTGTACAGCCCTAATATATATATATATATATATACTATATATATATATATAATATATATATATATATATATATATAATATATATACACACACACACATATATATACATATATACACACACACATATATATATGTGTCGTGTGTGTATATATATATATATATATATATATATATATATATGTGTGTGTGTGTGTGTGTGAGTCACGTGTTTAATATTATTCAATGTTGTGTCTTCAGGTAAAGACAAGGGCCATTACTATGGCTGTTACAAGGACTCTAACTCTCAGCGGGCCCTGGATGGTGGATTTGTTGATCTGCCAGATAACAGCCCACAGAAGTGTATCGAACATTGTTACAGATCAGGTTGGTGGTCCATCATCATCGTTGTCATCATCAGCATCATCACCATCATCATCACCATAATGTAGCAGGTCCTTTGCAATATGGCGATCTCATCATATCCAGCCACAATTACCCCTAATTCTTTGCCACTTTCTCTGCTTTGTGGATTTGAATTTTGAATTACCAAACTACTTTTCAGCTGAAGACTTACGCACACCTGACTACAGGTTGTTTCCTAACAGTTTTCAGGTGCCCCAGTATAACTGCTATATAGCTATGGGCAGCCATCATGGTGTAGCAACTAGACGCTCTCCTACAGATCTGTTCTCGTGGGTTCAAATCCACACAAAGCTTAAGTGGTTTAAATGTATGGCAAGACCCCTACGCCCTCTTGATTATATGGCAAGACCCCCACACCCCTTGAGTATATCGCAAGATCCCCCACGCCTCCCCCCCCCCTCCAGTTATATTGCAAGCACCCCCCCCCCTCCCTCGGCATAACAAAATGTGATTAAAAAGAGGTCAAAACAAGAGAAACAGAAAGAATGGAAACAAATTTTTGGTCAGAATATGTTTCAGATAACTATAACAAGATTTTTACGAGGTGAAAGATTTTTATGGTCAAGAGTATTTTGGTTTCCAAGAAATAATACTGTTTATATATCATTTCTTTGCAATGTTCAGATCTCACATAATGTAATTTTTTTTTTCTTGTTTTGACTTGTTGCTTTAACCCATTACACTGGCTTTTCTCTGGCTATAGAGATGAAAACATCATGACACTGCATAATTACCTAGCAATTACATAATGACCTGGTAATTATTACCATCATATATGTGCTTTTCGTCTTCTTCTTCTTCTTCTCTTCCACCTTGTACCTCAGCCGAGTGTTGGGGGAAGATGTAACATTGGTTGATGAGCTCTGTTGGAGCACTATTAAGATTGATGTTCATTTCTGTAAGGCTGATCTTAATGCTATCACTCCATATTTTCCGAGGTCTTCCACTCGCTCTATACCCGTTGTAACGTTTTAGTGTTGCTCGCTGTGGCAGATAATACCAGGGCATTCTTGTTAGGTGTCCAAACCACTTCATTTGTTGTTCTTTGATGACCTGGAAGACTGGCTTTATTCCTAGCATTCGTCTGATTTTGTGATTTCGTCTTTCCTTGAAACTCCTGCAACTCTTCCAATCTAATATATGGGCTGGTTAACATTAATTCTGAGCTTTATTCTAATATGTCTGTCACCCTTAGATCCTTTTGTATCACCATTAACAATCAGTCCCTTCTGCTTTTAGCTAATTAGAGCCTGTTTCTTGCTTCCATCTATATTTAGTACTTGTAAATCCATTCTGCAGCCACCTTGATGTAGCAAGTAGATGCTAGCCTGCGGTCATGGGTTCAAGTCCTGACAAAGCCAGGCTTGTTCAGAAATCACCTTGCCTCCCAGGTCGATCCTGCATTGAATGAGTACCGAGTGAAGTCCTGGGAAGTAAAGGCAGTCTGTGTGATGTTGACCACATAACCCACCAAGTGCGAATCAAGTCTATAAAATATACAACATGCCCTATAAGTCCAATATGTCTGAAGGTGTGGGAAAGGGTTATTTTTAACCCCCTCCAGTTTTCATTTTCGTTGTTAGCTCTTAGCTCCCATCTGCTTTCTGTCATCAGTAACTTTGCAAGTGTTTAGCCATCATTTTACCTTTCACAGTAGCTCCTGTCTTAATTTTCTTCAAGAAGTATAATTTCTGTGAAAAAAATTGTAGGAGACCATGCAAAACATTGAATGACGGCATCAAGAACAAGCTTAAAGTAATGAAGAACTGGTTTATACAATGCCTAAGAAATAGCACACAGGCGATGCTCATATCTCCCTCCAACACTTAACTGATGTAACTGGAAAGAAGAGGAAGAAGAACACATTTCAGCCTGTTAAGTCTTGTGTTGCATGTGTTGGCAGCAGTGGCCCTGAAATCTCATGCAGTTACTGTAGAAGATTCTTAATAGTGCAGTCTGGACTTGCTAATCACACTCGCCATCACCATGGACTTTGATTCGTGTGTCTCACTATAACCCAGCATCGTCTGTCTCACTGTAACCCAGCATCGTCTGTCTCACTGTAACCCAGCATTGTCTGTCTCACTATAACCCAGCATCGTCTGTCTCACTATAACCCAGCATCGTCTGTCTCACTATAACCCAGCATCGTCTGTCTCACTGTAACCCAGCATCGTCTGTCTCACTGTAACCCAGCATCGTCTGTCTCACTGTAACCCAGCATTGTCTGTCTCACTATAACCCAGCATCGTCTGTCTCACTATAACCCAGCATCGTCTGTCTCACTGTAACCCAGCATCGTCTGTCTCACTGTAACCCAGCATTGTCTGTCTCACTGTAACCCAGCATTGTCTGTCTCACTGTAACCCAGCATTGTCTGTCTCACTATAACCCAGCATCGTCTGTCTCACTATAACCCAGCATCGTCTGTCTCACTGTAACCCAGCATCGTCTGTCTCACTGTAACCCAGCATCGTCTGTCTCACTGTAACCCAGCATCGTCTGTCTCACTATAACCCAGCATCGTCTGTCTCACTATAACCCAGCATCGTCTGTCTCACTGTAACCCAGCATTGTCTGTCTCACTATAACCCAGCATCGTCTGTCTCACTATAACCCAGCATTGTCTGTCTCACTGTAACCCAGCATCGTCTGTCTCACTGTAACCCAGCATCGTCTGTCTCACTGTAACCCAGCATCGTCTGTCTCACTGTAACCCAGCATCGTCTGTCTCACTATAACCCAGCATCGTCTGTCTCACTGTAACCCAGCATCGTCTGTCTCACTATAACCCAGCATTCGTCTGTCTCACTGTAACCCAGCATCGTCTGTCTCACTGTAACCCCAGCATTGTCTGTCTCACTGTAACCCAGCATCGTCTGTCTCACTGTAACCCAGCATCGTCTGTCTCACTGTAACCCAGCATCGTCTGTCTCACTGTAACCCAGCATCGTCTGTCTCACTGTAACCCAGCATCGTCTGTCTCACTGTAAACCCAGCATCGTCTGTCTCACTGTAACCCAGCATCGTCTGTCTCACTATAACCCAGCATCGTCTGTCTCACTGTAACCCAGCATCGTCTGTCTCACTGTAACCCAGCATCGTCTGTCTCACTATAACCCAGCATCGTCTGTCTCACTGTAACCCAGCATCGTCTGTCTCACTGTAACCCAGCATCGTCTGTCTCACTGTAACCCAGCATCGTCTGTCTCACTGTAACCCAGCATCGTCTGTCTCACTGTAACCCAGCATCGTCTGTCTCACTGTAACCCAGCATCGTCTGTCTCACTGTAACCCAGCATCGTCTGTCTCACTGTAACCCAGCATCGTCTGTCTTACTGTAACCCAGCATGGTCTGTCTCACTGTAACCCAGCATCGTCTGTCTCACTGTAACCCAGCATTGTCTGTCTCACTGTAACCCAGCATCGTCTGTCTCACTGTAACCCAGCATCGTCTGTCTCACTGTAACCCAGCATCGTCTGTCTCACTGTAACCCAGCATCGTCTGTCTCACTGTAACCCAGCATCGTCTGTCTTACTGTAACCCAGCATGGTCTGTCTCACTGTAACCCAGCATCGTCTGTCTCACTGTAACCCAGCATTGTCTGTCTCACTGTAACCCAGCATTGTCTGTCTCACTGTAACCCAGCATCGTCTGTCTCACTGTAACCCAGCATCGTCTGTCTCACTGTAACCCAGCATTGTCTGTCTCACTGTAACCCAGCATCGTCTGTCTCACTGTAACCCAGCATCGTCTGTCTCACTGTAACCCAGCATTGTCTGTCTCACTGTAACCCAGCATTGTCTGTCTCACTATAACCCAGCATCGTCTGTCTCACTATAACCCAGCATCGTCTGTCTCACTATAACCCAGCATCGTCTGTCTCACTGTAACCCAGCATCGTCTGTCTCACTGTAACCCAGCATTGTCTGTCTCACTGTAACCCAGCATCGTCTGTCTCACTGTAACCCAGCATCGTCTGTCTCACTATAACCCAGCATCGTCTGTCTCACTGTAACCCAGCATCGTCTGTCTCACTGTAACCCAGCATCGTCTGTCTCACTGTAACCCAGCATTGTCTGTCTCACTGTAACCCAGCATTGTCTGTCTCACTGTAACCCAGCATTGTCTGTCTCACTGTAACCCAGCATTGTCTGTCTCACTGTAACCCAGCATTGTCTGTCTCACTGTAACCCAGCATCGTCTGTCTCACTGTAACCCAGCATCGTCTGTCTCACTGTAACCCAGCATCGTCTGTCTCACTATAACCCAGCATCGTCTGTCTCACTATAACCCAGCATCGTCTGTCTCACTATAACCTAGCATCGTCTGTCTCACTGTAACCCAGCATCGTCTGTCTCACTGTAACCCAGTGGAACAGTATCATTTGGAAAAACAGAAAGGTGATATCCTTTGTAAAGTCTGAATATTGCTACTTGTTCTCTCACTCTTAATGTCAAATATTCTGCTTAGTGGAGAGTGAGAAGCAACAATGAATTCATGATCTGTTTAAATCACCATTGATCACTGGTGTCATGTGGGCTAATAGACTGAAATGGCTGGGCATATTGTGAGAATGTCAGATGAAAGAGAGGTAAAAACTGTATACACAAAGAAGTTGAATAGTCATAGACCACAAAGCTAACCAATAAGGTATTGGAGAGATAATAATTCAGGCAGACCTGCAAACCCTTGAAATTACCAACTTGAAAGAGAAGACTAATTATGGAGATCAACAGAGCGGGCTGATATCTGCAGCAGTGAACCTCTAGGGCTTGGACTACTGTAGAAGAAGGCTCTGTTTAATGCAAGCTGATCTTGCTAGTCACTCTCACCATCCCCTTCAGCACAATAGTAAACTGTTTATGTTTGTTTATGTTTATGTTTATTCAGTGGATCAACATCATCACACAAGAGTACCCATCAGTGCTCCGTTCTTCTTCTAACTCGTGTCTGAGTCTAAATAATCTCAGCACAGTGCACAAACTCTGTTGCACCGGCGAGGATCCTGAAATACTTTGGGTAGATTTTTAACTCAAAATTTTGCCCAGGCAGCACCGTTAGGCTACTCTTTTCAATTTCCAACTGTCAAGGGATCTTTTACGTGCGCAACAATACACACAGGCGTCCGATCTTACTACCCAGAGATCAGAGGAAATTACTAGAAGTCCACGTGAAAAAATGCCAGCCTTCACTTTGGCTTGAACCCGGTATCTCTAGCACTCGAGACGGACACCCTGCCTCGAGACCACGCAGCCTCCAAGAATATAGTAGACTATCATCTTGAAAGATGAAAAGGTGCTAACAATGTCTGGTGCAGTGTCTCATTATTGCTGCTTGTTCAAGTGCATCATCTTTTCTGTCTGACAGGCCAGAAGTATGCTGGGCTACAGTATGGGAAAGAATGCTGGTGCGGAAGCTCATATGGCAAGCACGGCTCCAAGCTGGAAGAGGCTCATTGTTTCACAAAATGCCCTGGTAATGCCTCAGAAACTTGTGGAGCCTATCTTACCAATAAAATCTATGGCACCGGAGTTCAAGGTGAAAAAAGAAGGTTTCTATATTTCTTTTGTGAAATCATTGTTTTCTATCTAATTGTTTTTCCCATGAATATATAATTCACTTCATATACTGCATATTTTATTCACCTTGACTGTATTTAAACCCTGTGTGCTGAAAAAAAAATATTTGAATGTAAATTTAGCAGGGAAATCTAACCCGGTCAACAAATGCCCGCAGAAGTCGGACGTGTTGGCCAAAAGGTGCAAATATCATAGCCATGCTGTAAACGGACACAAGGCAGTTACATCTTTGGATGAACGCAGAAGAAGAAGAATGTAAATTTAGAATTGACATTACAGGGGTAAGGACATTCCAGTAAGCACTCAGTCCCCATCTTCAGCAGCAAGCGCAGAGTTCCATTTCTGATGACGGCAGTAACAGTCCAGTTGTCCTTTCCCTTAAGTAAACCATAAGTATAAAACTTTGACAGTCAGAACAAGTATCTGAATCTTTTGAAAGTTTTTTTTTTTTTTAAAGTTTGTTGTCCATATCGACATCCTAGCACGTCAGCCCGACCTATACATGCTCCATCCTCTGATGAAGCAGCCATCTGTGTCTCCATGCTCAGCCTACCCAGTAGGAGTTGATTCGCACATGTTCTTTCTTTGCCCCCGAGTGGTTTTTGCATGCTTGTCTACATTTAATACCCATTTCCAACAGGCGGTTCATCACTTCTGATTCCTTTGCCACAACATCTCTAGAACGTAGAGCAGTCAGTATGTCTGCCCTGTCCATACCTCTTCCTCCACTAACCTGCTCTTTTACACACACACGCACACACGCATGCGCGCACACACATCCCCCCCCACCCCAGTGGGTACAGCCAAGATAGTTTCTTGAGGTGAATCATCTACATGCTGTCGACACATTCTGATCAGAGTTTACCAGTTGAAAGAAGTTGAGACATAAAGGCTGCTCTTCAGAAAGAAGCAGAGCCCATTTCTGGGCCAGAGTGTTAGTAGAAATTCTAGTACATTTTATTATACTAACTTGAAGATTTAGAAGCTGAAGAGAAGAAAGGAAGACAGATCCTTGACAATCTTTTATCATGATACCGAAGAACTGTCTGCACATAAATTGAAATGATCTGTCAGAGATTTTGAGGTGTGGAGAAGTATGATCACCTATGCCAGACATCTGATGCAGATCCTGATGGTATATAATATTACTGTAGCAGCATATATACACTGTTAAATGTTCATCTTCTTGTCATTTCCCAACTGAGTCCATGCGCCGCACAACCAACCCTGCTAAGCTTTTTGAAGAATGACCGGATTTTGCAGCTAACCTTATCTGTGGGTGAGATAGCGAGTGTCATGCCAACTGGAGCTTTTTCTTCTTGTGGTACACACTGCCGTCAGCTTATTTAAGGCATCCTATTTTGATCATTACTTAAATAGACGCTTTATGTACGTACCGGCACCTTTTATTAAACACCTTGTAGTGGCCATTGAGTTAACCGTATGTGTCAATTCCTTCCCACCAAATATTTGGTTGACACATTCCGTTTCTGGGGACAGCTTTTATCTCTAGACAGTTGCAGTCCCCTGCTGACGAGATTCTGTCTTCCCGAGTGGACCGCCGTGATCAAAACATTGCGAAGGCAGCGTGGCCGAGGCTGCCAAAACTATCAGTCATTATCCCGCCCCGACACAGCACAACCACAATACACGCTGTTCCTTTGAAAAACACATAATATCCTGATTAGTCCATGATTATAGAACAGAATAATCCGAAAGAATTGACAGCCAGCGAAAATAAACACAGCTGCTGTCCGCCATTTTGAAAACGGAAGTCAAATACCTTGTAGTGAGTACCAGCACTCTTTACTGGTGGGGAAGTGGTCAAGCTGTTTGTATCACACTCTGAAGGTTCCAGGTTCATTTCACGGCTGCACCTTCAGTTCATGAGTGCAGTTTTTACGGATATTCCTAGGGACTGTCATCGCAGCTACAGAGAGACACTGAGCCATTTGGGATTAAAACTCGGTGCAATGAAGTAAATCCTCTTGACCTTGACCTTTAATTCTTTTGAAAAAAAAAATCCCTCATGTGTTTTATCACCTCTTTTGACATGCTTGTTAGATTGCATGATTAGTAATTTTTAACTCACTTGTGGATCCAGGCAATGTGGGAACACACAGGAAGCTGTTTGGCTTATGAATGATAATATCTGAAATTTTGAGTACGAAAATATTGTTTATGGTGTGTTGTAATTGTTTATATACTTATCATACCCAGCTGTGATCCGGCATAACGCTCCATTAGAGCACGCCCACCTAAACAAGACAACACTGAGAATCAAGATTGTCTTTGTGTTGACTGTGAGTGGACGAGCCGTTCGTCAAGTGGCCAGACTTTTGAGGATCATCTACAGTCCAGATCACTTCTACTACATTCATGTAGACAAGGTACACGTCTCTTGGTGTGTGTTTGTAAAAATAAAAAAATATTGGGAGGGGCAGTTGTTTGGTTTCATTTTGCATATAGAACAGCAAGGATTGGCAATAGGGGCAGCTAAATGTTTGCCTGTCAGCCTGAAGATGTAGGTTTAAATCCACATTGTTTTGTTGTTGTTGACCTTAGCTCCCAGGTTGACCCAACCTAAAGTGGGTTTGAGGTGATTTCCTAGGCAGTAAAGGTGGCCAGTGTTGACCACATCGTCCACCGAATGTTTATTTGTGTATAAAAATGTGAGTCTAGGGTCGTTTGCCCAATGGAAAGGAAATGCCTTACAATAAATTGTTTACTACATTACTGTACCCTGGTTTTATTTGGCCACCACCATCATCATCATGTGCCCTAACAATAAGCGTACGATGGTGTGCCTTCCCATGTGATCACCAAAAATATGAATCCGATCAATGTTCTTGTCTTTGACCATCAAAGTAGTAAGTCCCTCCAGATATTTATCTTTCCACCTTTCTTCTTTTTTTTTCTATTAATCTTGCCAGTTATCACCAAGTTCTCCAGCCCATCTGTTTTCATAATTTCTGTATCCATACTAACAGTTATTGTAAATTATTATATTTCCAATCATTATTAGTATGTTATTTTTAGGTTATGATTCTGTTTAATGATAATTATACGTTATTTATATAAACCTTTGACGTGTGTCTTTTTGCAGAGGCAGGAATATATGTACAGGGAGTTACTTCCCCTAGAGCAATGCTTTTCCAACGTGATGCTTACCCGTCATAGGTTTTCTACGATTTGGGGAGGAGCCAGTTTATTACAGGCCCACTTGAGCTTTCTCAGAGAACTGTTTGATGATAAGCCAGCCTGGAACTGGGACTATTACATCAACCTCAGCGAGAGTGATTACCCAATTAAGTAAGCCTTTCATTGGGAGTTGTGTCCTCTTTTTCTTTTTAATTTATTTGACAGTTGTGTACACTTTTGTGTTTATTTGATAGCTGTTTGCTCTTTTATGTTTATCTGAGAGTTGTGTGCTCTTTCCTATTTATTTGAGAGTTGCATACCCTTCGTGTTTATTTTGGAAATTGTATACTCTCCATGTTTATTTGTGAGTTGTGTACACTTTTTTTTTTAAGAGTTGTATTCTTTTTTATGTTTATTCAAGAGATGCATATCTTGTAGATACCTGTGAGCTGACAGACATTTATTTAGTTTATTTACTGAAAGTTGCATAACATGTTTTACGCAGATAAGTATTGGTGTTGAGAGATGTAAGTAGTTGTTTACAAAAGTGTGAATGGAGATTGTGAAAGTAGATAAGCAGTGCATATACAGTTATATAAAGTTATTGTAAAGATAAATAAATATTTATTGCTATGTAGATATAAATGAGGATTTGTTTCTAAAGTGAGTATTGTACTAATATTCGTTCCATTCTGTAATTGGTTTTGCTAACTGTGAATAGTATTTTGCTATTTCTTTCCACAGGTCTTTGTCGCAACTGGTTGATTTTCTAACTGCATACAAAGGCCTCAATTTTCTCAGGTCTTTTGGGAAAAATGTACCAAGGTATAGTTTTTTTTCTTTCTAATATAATTAATTTAAACAAAGAAGACACAAATAATAGATTGCATAAATAATAAATTGCACAAATAATAGATTAATCATCTGTTATATTTTATTGTATCCCACTGTCATATTTTGTTGTATCTCACTGTCATATTTTGTTGCATCTCGCTGTAAAATTGTGTTGTATCTTGCTGTCCTATTTTGTTGTATCTCACTGTCATATTTTGTTGCATCTCGCTGTAAAATTGTTGTATCTCGCTGTCCTATTTTGTTGTATCTCACTGTCATATTTTGTTGTATCTCACTGTCATATTTTGTTGTATCTCACTGTCATATTTTGTTGCATCTCGCTGTAAAATTGTGTTGTATCTCACTGTCATATTTTGTTTTATCTCACTGTCATATTTTGTTGCATCTCGCTATAAAATTGTGTTGTATCTCGCTGTCCTATTTTGTTGTATCTCAGTCTCAAGAGGTGCATACTGCAGTATAGAGATTTAATCATGGAAAGCATTTAAATGAATCTTTTTTAACTGAAGTACAGAATCATCCACACTCAAAAGTAACTGTTCTACCAAGGCTAGCGGGTTTGCCACCAGGTCTTTTGTCTGCACGCGCACACATCTGGGTGAATGCCGTTTATCATAATTGCTTCAGGGTAGTATAAAAGTATGTTATTTTCGACATACACAGAATTTTAACTTTGTTGTCCTTGTTTACAAAGTGGCCACAGTTCAAAAGGTGGTTACCGTGGATGAGGAATGATCTTTTCGACTGGTTCATGAACCACCTCACCACCAAATTAATTTAGCAGTATACACAGTATGATAGAGACATGTCGGTGTAGTTCATTGGGCAGGAGGGTGAAAGCTCATGCGCCGCTGGATCGATAACAACTACAACAACAGTCCTTCACCATCTCACCCCAACTTACATTATATCCCCCATCTTATTCACCTGTCTCTAATGTTCGTCTTGATGTCTTTTTATCTGCCTTAATTCCTTTGGCTCTGCTTTCTATTCAATGACATTTTACATTAGAACTATGCAACAAGCAGCCCGCTGACCAGATGTGGCCCACCAAGGCACAGCTATGGACCCGTGGATCATTGCCAGTTGTATTATAATAGTGATCTTTCTGTGCTGGGACTCGATCCCCTGGCAATCATCATTTTGAACATTTGGCCCCTGAGAAAACTGAAATGAATAGCTTTGCTCTTCAGGGTGCCCCATAAATTTCATACATTAAAAAAAAAAAATTTTTAACATTTTTTTAAATAAAATATGCTGCGAGTGATTACAATTGACGTCTTCAAAGAAACAGACACACAAAGAGAACTGATTGCCCACATCAGAAAGAGGAAATTTATATAGTTTGGTAATGTGATGAGGAGAAGAAGAAAACTGGAGAACATCATGACAATAGGAAGGTTGGAGGAGAGGGAGACGGAGAGAACAGTTTGATATCATGACATGAAGAATCATCTCTGTCAGAACTGATTGAAAGTACACAAGACAGAAGGTTGTGGATAGACATGATTACCAGCGCCTCACGGCATGAACTTTCAGAAGAAGAAATAGGCTACATTTGTTTTGAATACACATTTTGATGCATGTCCTCCACCGCTAAAGGACACTGACAAGAGGACACTGACAAGCACAGCTGGAATTATGCTTGTAATGGCATTGGTGATTGTTTATTTGTCCTGTGTAGGGAAACTTTAGGGACGCCCTGTAGTTATATTGTTGTTCAATATATGTCCTCTCCAAAACATGCTTGAATGAAATGTACATTTTCACTTGACATATACAGACTTGCATATGGTCCCTATGCTTGTGGGTCCAGCAGGCCAGTGTGTTAATACGGCCCTGCTCCGTTACAATCTTCAGAAGCAAAAAAATTTAATTGAATTTACTGCTAACCAACCATGTAACTTTAGTAAGCACATTATTGTCACAGCTAGTTAGTAAATCAACAGATTATTCTTATTGCACATTGAGCATAAGATCAAAAGAGATAAGATCAGGAATGAGATCATAAGAGAACAAGTCGGCACAGAACCAATTCTGGATTACATACAAAGAGAGCAAGTGAAATGGTTTGCCCACTTAGAGAGAATGCCTTGTGACACCATACCATACAAAGCACACATGGAAAGAGAAGAAGGACGTAGAGCACGGGGTAGACCAAGAACAAGATGGAAGGATAACATCAGAGAAACTCTACAACAGCACGATGTGCCTATGGTCGAGGCAGCCAGAAGAGCTAGAAACAGAACCTTATATCTCCCTCGACACCCACAGCGGTAAAAGAGGAAGTGAAGAAGAAGAAGAAGCACATTGAGCAAGTCCATGAGCGCTCATATCCTATCTTCAGTATATCCCTCAGTATGTGGCGACTGATAACACCAGTCTTGTGTTGGTTTACTATACTTCTTTGGCTACCCATATAGCGTTCATGTTTGGTGACACCTCTTTTGACCTGAAGTTCTTGTAGTCTTTTGAGTGTTGCTGATTCAACGTCATCTCGTAACTCATCTTCTCATCCTGCCTCCTTGAGAGCATTGATAATATTGGCCCGGTCCTTTTCTTTTTTCTGTACCGTGGCCCTGCCAGCAAGACAATCCGCTCATTCATTCCCTCTTACACTTGTCACAGTGTGCATTCCTGGCAAAATATCCCCAATATATATCATTGATGTTTAATTAGGGGACTTTTTTTTCACTAACTTTATTCATCTTTTTATCCCACTTTTGTCTCACCAGGTTTATTAAGAAGCAAGGTATGGACCAGACTTTTCACGAGTGTGAGAACCACTTGTGGCGAGTTTCTGAACGGCCGCTGCCAAGAGGCATCGTGTTTGATGGAGGCAGTGACTGGATCGGTCTGTGGTGGGAGTTTGCTCACTATTCCCTCTACTCTAAGGACCCGCTGGTCACTGGGCTGAAGCAGTATTACAAGTATTCCTTGCTGCCCGTGGAGGTATGGCCACGGAGATGGAGGGGTATCTCTTTGTTAAGAATGGCTGCTCTTGTAGTTGGGAAGATTAACAGTGTTTCCTTGATTAGTGTATTTTTTTTTGTGTGGGTGTTTTTTTTCCTAAGTATCTAGAAACCATGAGTTGTTAACCCTTTGGCTTGGTACTATGGATATCGCAACCCTTTGGCCTTGATTCCATGATGGGTACCATAAAGCTGGGAAAAAATTTTGACTTTTCTACCTACTCCCGGGCATGAACCTGGACCACAAGGAGTTCGTCACCCAGTCACCGCTAAGTCAGGTTTAACCAGCTATGCTAGCGAGTATTGTTTATACCTGATGTCTACTTTATTCCAGCTTTAGTCTTTTTCCTTCTCTCCTTCACCCCCTTATTTTAAATTCATCTTGTTTCATTCTTTTATCTTGCTGCCTTCCTAGCAGAAACTTTGGTGGAAAGTTCTGGTTGTTCATCAATATCTGGACTTTAGTCTTGTAGTCTTGTACTAGAACTTGAGGTTTTGCTTGTTCATTATTTTTTTTTTTACAAATCTGATTTATTTGTATGCTGACTGTTGGTTCCCCTCCTAAGCTGTTTCCTTCTAAACTTTCCTCAGGAGTTTACTGCTGGTGAACGTTAAAAAGAAGAAGAAAAGATCGAACACTTTTATCAACTGGAGGGAAAATTACAGGCAACCGAGCAAGAGGCAGTGAGTGAGACAATTGGGAGGATAATATCAAGAGATGTACAAACATCAGTCCGTAAGAATGTTTACAGAGGAAAAGAGAGTATACTGGAGATCCATTTCAGCCAACCTTTATTGTAGAGATGGCACCTGATTCATAATCATTTTCTTTGCTTATGTTTCACCCAGTCTTATTCATCATCCTCGTTTTCTTTTCTTATGTTTACTTTACTCTTATTCATCATCATCCTTTTCTTTTCTGATGTTTTTCTTTCTCTTATTCATCATCATTATTCTTTTATTTTCTGATGTTTTCCTAGTCTTATTCATCATCATCATCATTTTCTTTTCTTATGTTTTCTTAGTTCTATTCATAATCATCATTTTCTTTTCTTATGTTTTCCCCAGTCTTTCTTCCATATGGTGCTACAGAACAGTGTCTTCTGCACACAGTCAGTGGACAACAACCTGCATCTGACCAACTGGAGAAGGAAACAAGGCTGCAAGTGTCAGTACAGGCACATTGTAGACTGGTGCGGCTGCTCTCCAAACGACATCAAGATCAGCGACATCGAAAGATTGCTTGTAAGTTCAAACCTAGTCAAACAAAATATTTTTAAGACGTCAAGTATTAATTGTAAGTCAGAAAAAGAATAAATTCAAACAAAATATTTTTAAAACATAAAGTATTAATTGTAGGTCAGAGAAAGAAAAAAGTGAAAACAAACTATTGAGGTATATATGAAGGAAAGCATTTATAAAATACAAATTATCAATTATGCGTCAGACAAAGTATTCAGATGTGTGTGCTTGCTTGCTTATTGTACCCCACCAGGAATCAAACAAGCGATAAACACCAGGTGACACAAAGTGCCACCATGCCAATGAGGATCACCCGTGGAGAGGTCCCAGAAACCCCTTTCAGTCGTTATGGCCACAGTTGTGGCCCACCTATATTCATGGCCCCCGGCAAAAGCCAGGGTGGGGCTTAAAATAACGAAAAATTTCATTCCACAGGGGAAATGACTTGGATTAAAACATTAGGTGAGATGTATGTGGAACAAAGTATTCAGTTATATTAGAGCTAAGGATTCGAGAATATGGGAAACAAAGAATTCAAGTATATGTCAAAGAAAGCATGCAAGTCTATGCGAAACAAAGTATTCATAAATCATAAAATGTTAAGCATAGGTTAAACAAAGAATTCACAAGAAAACAATGATCAAGTATTTGTGAAAGGAAGTATTCATACAAGACAAAGTATTAATTATGCATTAGACTATTCATAGGTAACAAAGTGTTACATCAAAGTCTTCAAGTATAGATCAAGCATGGTAGTTCTAAAAACAAAACAAAAAAGTATCAAATATGTGTTAGTATTACAGAATCAGTTAGATAAAGTTGTGATAGGAATTAAAGTATAGGTCAAATAAAGTATTCATAGGAAAGAAAGTATTGGTCAGAAAAAGTATTCATGGGAAAGAAAGTTTAAGTGAGATAAATTATTTATAGGAAAGAAAACTTTAGTATAAAAAAAATTATTTTTAGGAAAGAAAGTATAAGTCAAATAAATTACACATCTTAAAGAAAGTTAAAATCACATAAATTATTAATGGGAAAGAATGCATAGGTCAAATAAATTATTTATGGGAAAGAAAGTATAGGTCAAATAAATGATTCATAGGAAAGAAAGTATAGGTCAAATAAAGTATTCATGGGAAAGAAATATAGGTCAAATAAATTATTCATGGGAAATAAATATAGGTCAAATAAATTAGTCCAGGAAAAGAAAGTATAAGTCAGATAAAGTATTCATAGTTCATGGAAAAGAAAGTATAGGTCAGAAAAACTATTTGTGGAAAACAAACAGCAGTTTAGAGCACATCAAATAAAGTCTTTATAGAAACAAAACTCATGTGTATGTCTAATAAAGTATTGACAAGTCAAAAAAGTTATTCAATGGAAACAAATTATTTAAGCTTAGATCAAATAAAATATTCCTAAACTTTTATATCTTCTGTGTTTGTGTCACTGCAGTATCTCACTGTCACTGTTCCATTGTGTTTTTTGCAGCACTACGAAACAAAGCCTGTGTTTTTTGCTCGCAAGTTTGAAGCGATAGTTGACCAGGAGGTTATCAACACTTTGGATCGCAACTTCCATGGATTTTTATATCCCGGTAAATTTGATGTAGAGATTTTTTATTTACTTATGGTTGTCAAGAGTAGACAACTCTATGACATTTTATTATCAAGAGTAGATAACTCATTGATATTAGTTTGTAAAGAATAGACAGTTCAGTGATATTGGGATAGATAACTCATTGATATTGGTTTGTTAAGAATAGACAGTTCATTGATATTGGGTTGTCAAAAGTAGTCTACTTAGTGATATTGTGATTAATAAAGGGTTTGCTGTAAATCACAACACAATGGGCTAACCACCCTTTTTAGAACAGAAGATTATTTAAAAAAAATTACTGACATCAGAAAATTTAATCATCATTTGCTGGTGATATTATGACATGGATATCCTGTTACCATCCAGGGTGAGGGTCTTGAAGCTTTAGGGGTGATCACGTCTTCAGGTGGCAACTTGTAGGGGGAAAATCAAATATTTAAATTGTTGAAATGAAAATAGAAGAGCACACATTGTGAATGAATGAATGTGGTTCATCCCCACCAGGACCGCTCAACGAGCGATGAACACTTGGTGATACAAAGTGCCACCATTCGGATGAGAATCATCCTAGTGCAAGTCCCAGAACCTTGTTCAACCGTTAGGTTATATTAGGGCCTCCGACAACAGCCGGGGTAGGGCTTTCAGTTAAGGAAAAATTGTGTCCCGTATTGGGACGGTAACACTCATTGTAGTCATTGACACTATTCTATATCCCAGGACTCTCCAGCTTGTCCAGCTACTGGCAGAATGCGTACCATCACCTGGACAAAGACACAAAGGTCAGAGATGCGGATTTGACCATATATTCATCTGTGATTCGGCAAGCTATGGACCAGTTAGCAGAAGTGAGTGCCATTCTCAGCAGCAATGTTTTAGTTGCCTTGCATTTGGCCACTAGTATGTAAAGTGTAAATTGGAGTGGACACTTTCATAAATATTGACTGAGGCATGAGAGGCTCATGTCTGATATAACACTAAATATTCTTCTTCTTGGCGTTCACCAGCTGTAAATTCTGGCAGAAAATTCTGGTTGTTCATCCCTTCTGGTTCCTCGCCTCCAGGCAGATGCACTCCCACTTTGAAGGATCCCTAATAGTTGACTTTTATGACATACTTGGAGAAGGGGCGATGGGTCTTTTTCCAGAATGAAACACCGGAACTCACATGGGGATAATGCTAAAGTAACGAGCCATTTTCCATGCCTTTAGGCATTTCGGTTGAAGGAAGTAGATCATCACCACCTTTACTTTCCAGGACTTTATCTTGTACCAGTTTGAGGCTAGGTTTATCTGGAAGCCAAGGTCATTTGTGAAAAATAGTCCAGCTGCGACAGGACCTAAAACCAAGACCTTCAGGTCCACAGGTGAGCGTCTAGCCGCTACACTAGGACAGCTCCAGGTGAATACATTTTTTTTTTTTTTCAAGTATCCAGAAGCCATGAGTTGTAAACCCTTTGGCTCGGTACTATAGATATCGCAACCCTTCGGCCTTGATTCCGTTATAGGTACCGTTAATCTGGGAGAAAAGTGGCTTTTCTGCCTACCCCCGGGAGTGAACTAGACCACAAAGAGTTTGTAAGCCTGCCGCCGCGAAAGTCTGGTTTAACCAACTTTGTTGGACAGCTGGGCAATATATTCTTTTTTTTTTTTTAATGGTTGTTGCAGCCTGTATGTACCACTTTTTATGGCAGTGTGGGTGTGTGTGTGTGGGGGGGGGGGGGGTGGGGGTTATTGAGCATGATGATTTTGGGGCCCCCTGGCTGGTGCAATCACCCTGAGCTGTGTAGAATTGCATTTTGTGTGTGTGCACATGCACACAACTGATTAAGGATTTACTGAAATTGGATGTGTTGGGCTGAAAGGCACAGATCTTATAGCCTAGCTGTAAACGACAGCACAGTATGTCAACAATCTTTTTTTCAGGGTGAACACAGAAGAAGGAGAAGATGAAGAAAGGGTTCAACTATTAATACTTTGGGAGTCGGGGCAAAATTAGTGAAAGTAAAATTCAGTTGGATGAACAGCTGGGTGAATCATCTTGAGTGCAGGAAATAGAATATAATTTAGGAGTGACAAGTAAATGCATAAGGTCCATTCCTAAATTTCTTGAACATGTTGTGTCTTACTTTGTTGTGTCCGGTGTAGACTGAGTTAGTTTAGCATCATAGCATTTAGGACCAGCAGTATCAAAACTGATTGCCAGCATCTGTGACGGAAGGATGTAGACAGACATGTATAAATGACACAACAGGAATGACACGTACTCTCGCTGTGTGAATGACATGTACTTACATTGTATTGTGTGTTCAGTGCCGGCTCTCATAGTTGACTGGACTAGAACGATTAGTGTAGGCACTTCTGATTGATGTCTTATGCATTTACTGTGCCTGTACGAGCTTCGAGATTTTGCTAGGACTGACATGCTTTCACCAGATTTCAAATGGAACAGTTGAGGACTTGTGTGATTTCCACTGGCACGGGAACAAAGCCGTTTTGGGATAACCCATCTGCAGTGAAGTTGGAACCTCGACTAACTCCTGACTGTTGATGCAACTGACTAATGATGCAACTGACAGTTGATGCCTGACATCCACACAGTAAACCATATTTGAAATGTAAACCATTTATAAATAGGGCCTTTTGATAAGCTGTAGAACCGGGAAGGCTAACCAGGTCAACAAATGCCCTCAGAAGTCGGATGTGTTTGCCGAAAGGTGCAAATATCGCAGCCATGCTGTAAACAGACACCACGCAATTACATCTTCGAATGAGCGCAGAAGAAGAAGAAGATAAGCTGTAGAAAGTTTCTCAGAATACCATGGACAAAGAAGAGAGGAAATACTGACATTTACAAATTCAAGAACAACTTGTTTTGGAAGCTTAAAAATTTTGGTAATTTGGCTGATTAGAAAAAATAATAGCAGAAGGCATGGTACTAGAAAGGAGTGGCAGGGGCTGACTAACATGAAGATTAGTACAGGCTATAAGACTGCTTGATTATGAATGTGCACGAGGCAGGAGAACTGTCGAGAGACCATGTTTCTTTCAGACAGGCTGTGATCAGAATGACGTTCTGCACAGGGCCTGCTGCATGATGATGAAACCATTTATCCATTTATCTACAGTCTGATCCTTCCTGCACCTTGAAGCCTGAGAAAGTTCTAGAAGCCCACATCTACAACCAGGCAGATCACTTCCATGGTCTTCTAGTGCTTTCCTCAGTCCTGCTGAAGGAGACAAACATGTCCACCATGCTGGAGGTTCATGTGGAGCAGAAGCATTACTACACCGTTGTTGATGCAAAAGCAAGTTCTGGAAGGTTGCTGAGCCTAGAGGTAACACTTATGGCACATTTTTTGGGAAGGGGGGTTCTTTGTATTTTAAATCTTTCAGTTTTAAATTCAGAAGATATGGTAGCAGTGTCTGGCATGCTTGTATACTGGTCTGATGGTCATAGGTTTAAATCCCCATTGCAAAAAATGCAACAAAAGAGAAAGAAAAGAAATCACCTTTTAATTGTCATTACCAGAAATTAAATCATTTATCAAGAGAAAATACAAATAATTGTGGAGAGAAGAAACCAACAGTAAACATCCACAAGACCCCATCAACAGACAGTAAAAACAAAACATTATACAAAACTTTTCCCTCTTAATAACAGGACACTGCAGGCTTAACTACCATGTGTATAAAATGAAGTATGTACAGTCCCTACAGTGTGCATGTCAAATGAGACCACAAACGCGCGAGCTACAAAGAGAAACCTGGCCTCAAGAGCAATGTATGCCGAGCAAGCTATGGGGAACCATGAAGGACCTACAGCTAACATGAGACTTCATAGAGGCAGCCCACCTGAGAATCTGACCTGAGCATATGAAACTAACGCAAAGAAGAAGAAGAAATCCTCATTGATGCATTTTTTTAATTAAAAAAGGCTGCTAGATCAGCACAGTCAAAAAACCGGATGCCAGGAATCTTTTTGTGCAAGTAAATGGGGTCAGCAGACATGGACCACATCACCCGAGTGTGTAATCATTTAGAACTATGAGCTAGCACCATATACCTAGTATGTCCCAGGACATGAAAAAAATGGAGCCATAGATTCGCAATCTTTACTCTTTCAGTCCCAAAAACCCATCATACGTTCAAGGGTTCCTACATAGAAGCCCAGTGAATGCAGGATGTGCCAGTTTTGCGTCTTTCTTTACTACCCCCTTGGGCCTCTGAGGCTAAACCCTATGTGACTGAAAGGAGTGAAGAAATCAGAGAAATGTCTGGGCAACCACTAGTATCAACAGTTATAAGACAGAGAAGATGTCTGGGCAATCACTAGTATCAACAGTTATAAGACAGAGAAGATGTCTGGGCAACCACTAGTATCAACAGTTATAAGACAGAGAAGATGTCTGGGCAATCACTAGTATCAACAGTTATAAGACAGAGAAGATGTCTGGGCAACCACTAGTATCAACAGTTATAAGACAGAGAAATGTCTGGGCAATCACTAGTATCAACAGTTATAAGACAGAGAAATGTCTGGGCAACCACTAGTTTCAACAATTATAAGACAGAAATGTCTGGGCAACCACTAGTATCAACAGTTATAAGACAGAGATGTCTGGGCAACCACTAGTATCAACAGTTATAAGACAGAGAAATGTCTGGGCAACCCACTAGTATCAAACAGTTATAAGACAGAGAAGATGTCTGGGCAATCACTAGTATCAACAGTTATAAGACAGAGAAGATGTCTGGGCAACCACTAGTATCAACAGTTATAAGACAGAGAAATGTCTGGGCAACCACTAGTATCAACAGTTATAAGACAGAGAAGATGTCTGGGCAATCACTAGTATCAACAGTTATAAGACAGAGAAGATGTCTGGGCAACCACTAGTATCAACAGTTATAAGACAGAGAAATGTCTGGGCAATCACTAGTATCAACAGTTATAAGACAGAGAAATGACTGGGCAACCACTAGTTTCAACAGTTATAAGACAGAAATGTCTGGGCAACCACTAGTATCAACAGTTATAAGACAGAGATGTCTGGGCAACCACTAGTATCAACAGTTATAAGACAGAGAAATGTCTGGACAACCACTAGTATCAACAGTTATAAGACAGAGAAGATGTCTGGGTAATCACTAGTATCAACAGTTATAAGACAGAGAAGATGTCTGGGCAACCACTAGTATCAACAGTTATAAGACAGAGAAATGTCTGGGCAATCACTAGTATCAACAGTTATAAGACAGAGAAATGTCTGGGCAACCACTAGTTTCAACAGTTATAAGACAGAAATGTCTGGGCAACCACTAGTATCAACAGTTATAAGACAGAAATGTCTGGGCAACCACTAGTATCAACAGTTATAAGACAGAGAAATGTCTGGGCAACCACTAGTATCAACAGTTATAAGACAGAGAAGATGTCTGGGTAATCACTAGTATCAACAGTTATAAGACAGAGATATGTCTGGGCAATCACTAGGATCAACAGTTATAAGACAGAGAAATGTCTGGACAATCACTAGTATCAACAGTTATAAGACAGAGAAGATGTCTGGGCAATCACTAGTATCAACAGTTATAAGACACAGAAATGTCTGGGCAATCACTAGTATCAACAGTTATAAGACAGAAGATGTCTGGGCAATCACTAGTATCAACAGTTATAAGACAGAGAATTGTCTGGGCAATCACTAGTATCACTAGTTATAAGACAGAGAAGATGTCTGGGCAACCACTAGTATCCACAGTTATGAGACAGAGAAGATGGCTGGACAACCACTAGTATCAACAGTTATCAGACAGAGAAGATGTCTGGACAACCACTAGTATCAACAGTTATAAGACAGAGAAGATGTCTGGGCAATCACTAGTATCAACAGTTATAAGACAGAGAAGATGTCTGGGCAATCACTAGTATCAACAGTTATAAGACAGAGAAGATGGCTGGACAACCACTAGTATCAACAGTTATAAGACAGAGAAGATGGTTGGACAACCACTAGTATCAACAGTTATAAGACAGAGAGGATGGCATCACACTGGACACATCCTGGAAAGAAACCAGCTGATAATCACCAAACAAGCATTAAAATGGGAAAAAAGGGATTAAGGAGGTGAGGATACCCTAAGACGAACGTTGATGAGAGAGGCCAAGGCTGCTAAACTGGGATTCCATCCAATATATTGAACTGATTGCTCAAAGCAGAACTAAGTTAATGAACAGACTGCAAACCCTAAGTGACAGATAATGGCACAACAGGATAATGAATGAATAAACTGTAACATTGTCTTTTCCTGTGATATGCTGATGAAAGCTTTCTAGCCACATTTACTTGTTGTTCATGCCTGTGATAATATGAAGCAGACTAGTCCTACTTCTCGTTTGGTTTGATATGTTTTATGGTAGCTCTTCTGAGTTCAGAAACTGTTTAGTTGTGCTTGCTCATCAGTGCTGATATATTACATATGGACAGCTTCATTATGTGGACAACAAATAATCAAATATTGAACAGGTTCTTCCCTTCCTTTTTGTACCTCTTTGGGTATATCATATAAGACACAGCATTTTGGTTCTTGCTCTTCTGGCTACTCAAATAGACAGTTCATACTGTTTTAGAATTTTCTGATATCTTTCCATATTGTTCTTGGTCTACCATGGGCTGTGCATCCTTCTTCTCTTTTCATGTATGCCTTAAATGTTAGGGCATTACAAGGCATTCTCATGAGCTAAGCAAACCTTTCATTTGGTGTCTTTGTATTTAATTAGGCAATGGTCTGTTGCAGCTTTTTTTCTTATGACCTCATTCCTCATATTGTCTTGTCTGGTCACTCCTGCATCCTGTCTCAACTTCTTCTTCTCAAAGTCCAGGCTGTGTGGCATTGGTAGTGATGTCTATCCACAACCTTCTGTCTTGTGTACTTTCAGTCAGCTCTGACACAGATGATCCTCCATGCCATGATGTCAAACTGTTCAGCATCTTTTCTCTCAGTCTCCCTCTGCCGCTCCTCCCATCCAACTTTTCTGTTGTCACGATGTACTTCAGTTTTCTCTTTCTCGTCACATGACCAGAGAGTGTAGATTGTCTCGTTCTGATGTGGGCAATCAGTTCTCTTTGAGAGTCAGCTTCCCTGAAGATGTCGTCATTACTCTTTCTGTCCTATCTCAACAAACTTCATCAAAAGATCAGATAGCAGAGATAAAAGGAAGGTTCAGTTTTTCTGTCTGTTCCAGGCCAAACACTGGAGAAAAAATGTTAAACTCAGACTGTTTTTGACCTCAGATTTGATATCTAAATACAGAGACTTTGTTTTTGACCTCAGATTTGATATCTAAATACAGAGACTTTGTTTTTGACCTCAGGTTTGATATCTAAATACAGAGACTTTGTTTTTGACCTCAGGTTTGATATCTAAATACAGAGACTTTGTTTTTGACCTCAGATTTGATATCTAAATACAGAGACTTTGTTTTTGACCTCAGGTTTGATATCTAAATACAGAGACTTTGTTTTTGACCTCAGAGTTGATATCTAAATACAGAGACTTTGTTTTTGGCCTCAGAGTTGATATCTAAATACAGATTTTCATGTTTAACAATATCTAAATACAGATTTTCATGTTTAACAATATCTAAATACAGATTTTCATGTTTAACATTTTCACTTCCTCAGGTTGGGTCCGATTTTGACATGAAGGAACAGATCTTTCGTAATTATGGAAGTCTGTTAGGACCTTATGATGATATTTCTCTCCGCCATGAATGGAGTCCAGGAACCGAGTTGACGGTATCTATTGCCTGGGTAGATCCAACAAATGAGATAGCAGCGTCCTATGATATTGTGATCCCAAACGAGCATCACATTGGCACTCAGAAACCAGTTTTGTTCAGGCCTCTACGACCTGGTATATGGAAAGCATGTGTCATGATCAGTTTAAAATTAGCTGCGGAGACCCAGTTTCTGATCACCCCTTTGACATTTTTCAACAATAAACCGATTTCAACTGCTGAAATACTACGGTCACACAAAGGTCCCTTGGGACTTTACACTTCAACCAACTTCACAGAGTTCATGACCTATCTGAAATTGACAGAGAGTCCACAACTACGACTGGAAGCTTTCAACAATAGCAGGCGGACAGGAGCGGATCTGAACCTGTGGGTTGACTCGTTAACTAGACTATTTTGGGTAGTTCGGCAAATGTGTATCGTAAATAGCACAGCTACTTGTTCTAGTCTGAAGGAGTGCCATGCCAGTCCTTGGAGTTCTCAGTCTCCTGACCTTAAATCAGACATGAGGTATATAGGTTCAAAGATTCCAGTCATCAGCTGACACCAGCTAACATTTAGTTCTTACATTTTTGCTACGGTTTTTGGGCTGTCGTTTTTTTGTAGCTACTTATGCAATAATTTCCTGAACTCACTTAATTTTTATTTTTAAACATTATGTTAGACCTGTATGTCTTAAGATGATTCTTTTGATAGATGCATTTTTCAGAAAGAAAATCTGCATTCATCTAAACAACACACATTTGTTTAGTGCAAGAAATAGAAACTCCTCGGAATAGTTCTACGAAAAATATATTCTCTTCTTGGCACGAAGAAAGCTTCTGGCGCACATATAAGCCAAGTCTGTAAAATAGATGAGCATGCAACAAATTCCTGGAACAAGATCAAAGTCTAAACTCTGTGGACCACTGAATGAACTGACAAGGACAGAGGAAGAAGAAGACGACCAAAGTCTAAACTCTGTGGACCACTGAATGAACTGACAAGGACAGAGGAAGAAGAAGAAGAAGACCAAAGTCTAAACTCTGTGGAACACTGAATGAACTGACAATGACAGAGGAAGAAGAAGACGACCAAAGTCTAAACTCTGTGGAACACTGAATGAACTGACAATGACAGAGGAAGAAGAATATGACCAAAGTCTAAACTCTGTGGAACACTGAATGAACTGACAAGGACAGAGGAAGAAGAAGAAGAAGACGACCAAAGTCTAAACTCTATGGAACACTGAATGAACTGACAAGGACAGAGGAAGAAGAAGAAGAAGACCAAAGTCTAAACTCTGTGGACCACTGAATGAACTGACAACGACGGAGGAAGAAGAAGACGACCAAAGTCTAAACTCTATGGAACACTGAATGAACTGACAATGACAGAGGAAGAAGAAGACGACCAAAGTCTAAACTCTATGGAACACTGAATGAACTAATAACGACAGTGAAATTTATACAGGAGACAAAATTGCTGATATAGACAACTTATTTCAGGCAAACAAAAGAAGAAGAAGAAGAAGAAGAAGACCAAAGTCCTGAAAATGACAAAAAAAGTTAGCACTTTCCACTAGAGTTTACTGCCGGTCAATGCCAGAAAGAAGATCATACATTTCCATGCTTGTCTTTTTAAAATGCACTGTACCAGATTTAAAATTACATTGTTCAGCTGGAGATCTGTCTATAGTTTCAGCACGGCTCATCAATTTTAAGGGGGGGGGGGGGGGGGGGGATTATTATTTTAACATTTTGTTTTTAAGTTTGGGTCAACAATGCCTAATTTTGTTTAATCTTTTTTTTAAAACTATTTATATTATAGCATTAACTGTGGTTTATGATCAAATAACTATATTTTGAAAAGGTCACAAATTGGTTACGCAAGCCTGTCTTACATTAGACCCTTCCAAACCTTCTCTTTCACACAGTATATGTTCTGTTTTTGCATGTTAAATTCATGTAGCTATAAACATAATAACATAATATATATATAATAAGCACAGCATAGATTAAGCATCTGTTTTTTCTAGTTATGCTGCCAAGAGGATTACTTATTATGTGTCCTGTCCACATCCAGCAGTTTCCTCACTTATTGGTTCTGTGGAATTCACTTATTTCGATCCATCACTAAATATGTGATACACAAATTTTAGCATAGACACTGTTGAATTCAACATCTGGGACTGAAAGAGTTAAGGAGCAGTGGGTATGTCCCCCTTCCCCCGAAAAAAAAAAAAAACACAGGCCCCCTTGAAAACCAGACAGGGTCTTTAGAAATCAAGGCAGATTTTTTTTTTAATTAACTCTTTCAGTACCTGGAAAACACACCATGTGTTCATTGGTTGTCCCTTGCATCATATACTTATTTGAACTTTCTCTCTCGGTGCCAGGCTGTTACCACTTTAGAGCCACACACATCTGGGTGAGAGGTAAATAACATAACAGCTAATAGTATCAGAATGCGCATTAGTAAAAAGTTTCTAGGTTAGGAATGAGTTAATCACTGAAAGAGAGTTGCTTTATAAAACAGCTGCCTGGGGCTGAAAGATTTTAAAAGCAGCAGTCCACTTAGGTTGGCATCGTCAGAGAGGTTGTCCTCAAATAGAGCGGGTGTTGGCCAGAATAATTTTCTCTAGTCTGCATAAACTGGACACGCTTGCTCCTATTGTACCATACCATTTTCGTCCTTCAGTTTTCTTGGAAGGTAGAGTACATCTGCCTGGGAGGCGAGGAACCAACAGTCTGCATTCATTTATGCCAGATCTATAAAATGGATGTGCATGTAAAACTCATGCTGTGGAACAACCAGAACTTTCTGCCGGAGTTTATAGCAGGGGAATGCAAAGAAGAAGAAGTAATTCAGTTGTATGCGTGCATCACTCTATAAGACTGAATGGAGTCAGTCACTCTATAAGACTGAATGGAGTCAGTGACTCCTTTATCGTCTTCTCCCTCCTCATATTCCATGGAGCTATTTCACACATTTTCTTTCCCAAGTTAAGCCATCTAGGAGATCATGTACCATTTGGTTACCCAGAATAACAGTATCCATGTTAAAATTTACAAATAATGCAATATACACATTGCGAACATTAATAGAAAAATCAATAGAGAAACATAAAGACATATATTTGTGCTTCATTGATTATACCAAATCTTTTGATAAAGTGAAACATGATGAAATGATACAATTGTTGGAGGATATTAATATTGATGGAAAAAAATCAGACTAATAAAACATATTTACTGGAAGCAGGAAGCAGCAATTAAATTGGGAAATAAATTTGGCAGTTATGAACAGATAAAGTAAGGAATGAGATGGATGTGTTTTGTCACCGGATCTTTTCTCTCTCTATAGTGAAATAATAATGAGGGAGATCAAGGATAGACCAGAAATACTAGTTAAAGGTTACAGTCTAAACAATCTTTGTTATGCAGATGATACAGTGTTAATAGCTAAAATTCAGAAGACCTAGAGGAACTGGATGATACAGTGTTAATAGCTAAAATTCAGAAGACCTAGAGGAACTGGATGATACAGTGTTAATAGCTAAAAAGCAGAAGGCCTAGAGGAACTGGATGATACAGTGTTAATAGCTAAAATTCAGAAGACCTAGAGGAACTGGATGATACAGTGTTAATAGCTAAAATTCAGAAGACCTAGAGGAACTGGATGATACAGTGTTAATAGCTAAAAAGCAGAAGGCCTAGAGGAACTGGATGATACAGTGTTAATAGCTAAAAAGCAGAAGACCTAGAGGAACTGTTAGATATTGTTCTGCTAAAGAGTGCCCAAAAAAATGACTCTCCTTGAATATAAAAAAAACAGAAACAATGGTTTTAGCAAAGAAGAAGATAACTCCAACAAGTGACATAGCAATAGCAGGGAAAGTACTTAACCAAGTCAATAAATTCAAGTATTTGGGAACATTCATAACATCAGATGGACGGTGTGTGACAGAAATTAAGAGCAGAATTGGCTAGGCAAAGGCAGCTTACAACAGTGAGAAGGAGACAAAGTTCTGTGGTCATGTAATGAGAAAAAGAGCACTGGAAAATATTGTGACGACTGGAAAGATCACTGGTAGAAGAGGCAGAAGCAGATCAAGAGAAATGATGGTGGATGGCTTAAGACAGTTGCATGGAGAAATCATCAGTAGAATTGATCCAGAATATCACAGACTGAGATCTGTGAACGCCTAGGCCAGCTGGCAAGGCACTTGATGATGATGATTTTAAAATGAGTTGCATTTCCTTTACGAAACATTGCAAGCCAACACCAACATTCTTTGGCTGTTTGTGGTTTTACTCTATGATTTTCTTTTTGTTCAGTAGTTTGCCGTTGCTTTCTAAACAGATCAACGCTGTCATCATTATCAAAATCAGCACAAAGTGATCTGCTGCCAAGTTGCTTGCAGCTGACTTTAAACCTTGGTGTATGGATATTATGAAACTATTCATAGCCTTTAAACAACAAATGATGACTTCCTCCCAATATTAACGTAGCCGTCATAAAAAAAAATTATTGTACTTCAGCAAAAAATCTCAGGGACATTAGATGATGGATTAAAGAGTTCATAATTTCTTGTTAAATTTCTGTCAGTATATATCAATATATTTGTTGCAAAACAAGCAGAACATTTGTCATTATATTTCCACAATTTAGTAGTTAACTTCATGTTTCAATTCATAAAGTTTTTTTTTTTTTTTCCACTTTGAAGCAAACAGTTTGCAGTATGTTTCTCCAAAAAATGATGGGTAGTTTCCTGTTATCAGTCTCTAGTTTAGCAGCAGATAATTGTTAATCTTTGCCCAGAGAGAGCTCTAATATTGACTGATCATTTAGTAAGATGACTTGGCGTGAGCTGGTTGAGGGTCTGTGCTTCACTGGAGGCTAGAAAAGCAGAAGAATTTAGTAAGAGCTTCTCTGGTTTTATCGTTCCATCTTGTTCTTGGTCTTCCTTTACGTCCTTCTACTTTTTTAGCATGATGTATGGCATCATAAAACATTCTCTTTTTTTAATTGTGCAAAACATTTTATTTGCTGCCTTTGTATGTAATTTAGAATTGGTTCTATGCTGATATTTTTTTGTTATGATCTCATTCCTGGCTTCATATCTTTATGTCACTCTTGCAACCCTTCTCATATCTCATTTCCACGGTTATTAATTTTCTTTTCTGGTTTGTTGTGAGTGACCATATCTGGCACTGGTAGGACAGTGTGGGAATGAATATGCTTTATATGAGGTGTTTCTTTGTGCTGGGTTTAAATGGACATAAAATGGCTACCAAGCTATTTCCAGAATTGTTCTGTGAATTATTTGAGACAGTAAGACGGCGAGTACTGGCTGATAACAGAAAATGTCAGCACAGAACTAGTTCTCAATTACATGTGTATTGTGGGACCTGGAATATTTGTGAGCCTAAAATGTCACAAATTATTGGTCATTTTTATGGAAACACTTTTACCATGTGCCAAGCAAATGTTGACTCTGTCATATAACAGATTACAAATGTGTGTCATGCAACAGTTTTGTTGTCGCTGCATGGTGTTACA